AAGAGTGGAAATCTGGCTAGTTGGTTTTTGGAAGTCTTGCATGGAAACCTGACTTTCCATGCTTTTGATCTAACAGTTCAAACCTCCGTTCAGTGCCTCAAGTTCCCGTATGCATCCCGTTACACAAGCAGGCATTCTCCTTAGCTTCCGGCCTTACTTGGCAAAATCCACGTGGATGCTGGTAACCCTCTAAAGTACAAGTGGGTTTTCCAGGGTCTTTAACTCATGTTTCTCTTGCAGGAAGCCCGTTGAGGAAAATTCTCCATGAATGTACGTCACAATGATGATGACCGACCAAATTCCGCTGGAGCTGCCACCGTTGCTGAATGGGGAGGTAGCGATGATGCCTCACATTGTGAATGGCGATGGATCACAGCAGGTCAGTGGGCTTTGCAGAAAACACCTGGTTTAAAAAACTATTTTTGAGCTGCCAAGGGATTTTAAAGATGGGGGAGATGGTTTTCCCTAGCACTAGGGAGGGCAGAGTATTTCCTGGAAGGTAGAAATCCACCCTTACACTGGAAAGACATTAAAAGCAACACTTTAAGTGTACCATGAAATGTAATGTGATTATTTGCATGTGTGTTCATTAAAGTTAAAATAATGAGATTGAAATAATGGCTATAAATGCTACGTATTTTAGGGCTTTGCAGAAAGTTGGTCTCATGATTTACTTGTGCTAGCTGTTGTCCAGGCATCTTGCTAGGATCTGTGATGAGACTTTAAGAACTTAAAACAAAAATGCTGAGATTGTAAAAAAGGGAAAAAAAGGAAAGAAACAAAGAATTGAAGACGAGTCCTGTGATATCTGCTTTCTTTGCTTACCTGAGTGTGCTGTCCCAGCAGTCCTATGCATTACCCTCTGCTTCATTATATAAACCTTAGAAGAGCAGAAGTGAATTTTGACTGGGCTTTTGAAGGCAAGTTTATAGTTGCTTTCATATTTTTCTGGGAGATATTCTCTGACAAGCATGATCAGATGTAGGTAGAATGATTGCAAGAGCACAGCGATGCCTTCATGTCAGGATACAGCCTAGAGGTTCAAGTTGAGAGTTGGTAGATTCCCAAACCTGTCATCTTGGTTTAATGTTTCTGTTTGTTGAACAGCTACCATAGCAATTTTTCTGTGTTACTCTGTTTGGTTTCCTCCTGATTTGAGGCATTTCAGCATAGTATCTTAACCAAGGTAGAAATAAGCTGTTCTTCATGAATCAATATGAAACGTAATTCTGTTACTTCTCCTTCTCTTGATCATGCGTTCCTCCCTCCAAGCTGTGTTTGGGCTACGCTAACTTCGAGAGCAAGAGCAAGAATAATCTCCACTTCTCTTGTAAGCTTCTAAGTCTGTCTGCTTATCTGGATTCTTAGTACAATACAGACTTTCACTGCTGTGATGATATATTTTTTTTTTGAGAGTCATTTCTGCAGTATGCTTCAACTTGAAAAATAGACAAGAAAGCTTTTAATGGCTCTATTTACCAAGTCCAATATTAATACGCTTAAGTGAAGGAACAATCTTCTTCATATCAGATAGGATAATTGTTCCTTAAATATGCCTTTTCCTCCTTGCTGGAAACCATTTATCAGGTTAGACTGTCCAGTGGGTCCTTCTGTATTGCAGAAAGACTAAATGAAGTTTTCTGAGCCCTCCTTTGAGATGGGGCTCTGAGTCCAATCTTTACATTTCCCTATCAGCGATGATTCAGCAGCCTTGCCTGGCGGATGCCTGCATCACCTTTAAACTAGCTTCTCAGCTAATGTTTTGGGAAAAAAGAATTACTGATGTACTGGAAGTGGGCTACTTTAGCTTTTGCTGTGCTGTGCAAATATGACTCAGCAGAGCAGTTCTGGGCCAGGTTCCTCTTCTGCATAAATGTTTGTTGGATGATGCTTGTAGACCTCATCGCCTTATCTCTTTAAGTACTTGTAGCTGAAATACCAGTTTTCTGTGAGACTTTTTTGGCCTCTAGTGTATATCTGCTCTGATGTTGCAAAGCTTAGCTGCCTTTCTGCTTTATCATTTTCATCTTATTTCTGAAGCTTTAGTTGGTGTCTTCACTCTTAAAAAATACAATGCAATGAAATGGAAATAAACGCTTTGTTTGGTCTTTGTGTATAGTAGCAGCAAATGGACTATGTTAATCACTCTTAACATTATTTCTTATGTAATGTAAAAGCAACTGTTGCATGTTTGTTTGAAAGAGATTTATCTTAGTTACTGGTAAGGCAGGAATAGCCTTCAGATTCGATTCATGTAAGAATGACTTCCTTAATAAAGGTGGTTTATATTACTTCATAAATAGATGCTAGTTTTATAAGGGCACGTGCTTTTCCAGGGTGTAATTACAGCCTCCTTCAGAAGCTGGTGGTAAGAAAGCATTGTAGCTGAGCTGCTGGAAGATGAAGCATGTGGAGTTTTCCAGGCTGCAGATCGGTGCCTCGTGCTTTAGAGTGGACAGTACTTGCTCCTGATGAGATGCTCTGGGTGCACTTGCTGTTGCTCACCCTGATGTGTTACTGGGTACGTGAAGCCTCGGCCATGCCAGCATGGTAGAGCTGTGCTGTGGGCTCTACCTGACAATGCTGAGCTTCAGATAAAAGGTTTTTCTCAAAAGACCAGTTCTTTTATATGTTGAAAAGAGCACTGGAAGCTGGTAAAACACTGTAGCTTTTACCAGCAGCCAGATGGAGAGCGATGCAAAAGGCAGTTCTGCTGGTAAACAGTCCTGTATCGTAAGACAATTGCACAGGAACATTCAGTTTTATCTTCCTGGGGATAAGTGCTGTGGAGCTGTACAGGACAGAGCTAGGAATGTCTTCACCTGCTTGACAGTAATCCCTCTTCTCTAGACTACCCAAATGGCATTTCTAGCATGGGTGTTTGTTTTTTTTTTTCCCTAAAGTTTCCTGCACTTAATTTCCACTACTGCTGACTGTATTTAATGCTTTCATGTCCTTTCCATGGCTGCTGTTTACTCCGTTTCTGCCTCTAATCCACTTGTAACTCCTGTGGGGATTCGGGAAGTGATAATTAACCTTTTGGTCCAAGAATTTCAATGGTTTCCTGGAGGTACTCCACTGTAAGCTCTAAAAACCTTGGAGTATAAAGCAGAGGGGCAGCTAGCTGTGCCATATCACGTCTGTACAGAGTGCGGGGCGATTTAGTTGGAGAGGTTTTATTTCAGCTTGGTTTGCTGACTGCTTCTGCAATGGATGTAGCAAGCTTTCTGCTTGCCTGCTCTTTGTAAAGGTGTGTTTACCAAACCCTGGTTTTTCACCGTTTGACTTGAGCCCAGGCACTGTGCATAGTGCTGCGTGTGCTGGTTCTTGTCTTTTAGGGTCATACACTTTGAATAAGGTAGGTGAGAGAACGCCTGAACGAGGTTTGGTACCTTCCTGTAGCACAGAAGTCTCTGCACCTTGCAAGGACTTGAAAGCATTGAGCTGGCTGGGGTTTGCACTGAACCTGAACAGCGGCTGAGCTGAGTGAATGAGCTTTGTGCCAAAATTGAGAGTTACTTCTTCCTACTTTCTTGAATTTTTTTTTTTTATATGTACTCACAGAAATCTCCTTTTAGGGGAGAGGGAGGGATACAGGCATACGGGAGGCTTCTTTAAAGAAGAAAAAGGTTAATAGCTGGGACATATCTCAGATCCGTGAGTTGAGAAGCATCAGTGCATGAGAAAAGGCTATCAGATAAAGAATGGTGAAATTTCCTTCCATTTAAATACGCTGACTTCTAAAGCAGATTCAGTAGTCTTAGAGAAGATGTTTAGATTAGAACAGATGACAGACAGGTTAACAGTAGCAAACTTTAACCCATGGGCAGCGTTTGCTGTTTAGGAAGTCTCTAGAATGAACTTTTTTGAAGGCATTTTAACCGAGCAATGTTGGTGGGCAAACTCTGAAGCTGTTCTCACACATGTGCTCCTTTGTGAATGCAACAAAAAACAGAATATGCTGAAACTTCGAGTCTTAAAATTTCTTGCTTATCAAAACAATTTGTTACACAGATAGTGATTTTTTTTTTTAATTTTTTTTTTTTTTACTGCTTGTTTGGGAGCCTGTTTAACTTGTGCTAAATTAGGGATTCAGCATCTGTCACTTGTGGGCTTCACTCTCAATAGCACTCATCGTAACTGACTGAATCGCCTCATGCCTCTATTTTCTGGGAAAAAAGATAGGTAAACCTAGAACACTATTATTAAAGTATTAATTTTTAAAAGTCAGTGTTTTATTCTTTAAGATGTAGCATGTTCCCTGATTTTTCTTACTGAAGAGAGGTTGAACGTATTATCCTACCTGCTCCCGTGTGGCTGAGGAGGAATGTATTCCTGAGAAGAGTACTGCACACAGAATGATGTGAATTCTTTGATCGTTTCTGCGGGATAGAGCTGGAAATTTATTAAATTTATTAGCATCTGGGATATAGTCTTTTAAAGTAGAACGGAGAATGGACTCAAGTAATGATTTTGAGTTTTCGTAGTGTGATGGGGTGGGGTTTTTTGTTTGTTTGTTTTTTGTTTTTTTTTTTCCCCGCAAAGATACAATATATTTCAAAAATTATGTGCTGTAGAAGTTGTAAATACAGTAAATTTTAATAATTTAAAGCATTTGTGAGAAACTTGGGGCTGGATCCCAAATGGTGCCTATAATGCCAGGTTTGTATGAAGTGTGGTATATCTAAACAGGGAAGGGAATACCCCCAATGTATATAGCTTTATATTCCACAGAATAAAGAACTTTTCCCCAGGAGCAATAAAGTTTTGAAAAGGTCTGTGGCTTAATTGCACAACTAATAGTTGAAAAATGTTTGTCTTTTTGATGTATTCAATATTTAACCTCAAAACAAGATACTGAGTGAAAATATTTTGTGGGCTGTATTTAAAATCTGGACAAAATTGTATAGTCCCTACTGCAGACAGGCCAAGTGGAATTGACTGTTGTTATCCTGCAGCATGCAGTGGGGAGCTTTGTTTTCTGACCAACTTGATCCTGTGTTTTGCGACGGTAACTCGTGCTGAGGCTTTTTTTTTTTTAAATAAATTCAAAATCTTTAAGTTGTTGTACTCTGGGAACTGTCAATAGCAATTATTTCCATATATATATAAAAAACATTTTAATAGAAGGTTCTATATATAAACCCCAGGCTTTCCCCACAGGCTCACGATGGGGGGGACGAAGCCATGGTGGCTGCTGCCCTTTGGGAGACAAATTTGTTGGTGGAACAATTTGTGTTAAAAACCTGCGTAATTAGGCAAGGATAATGCTGCTTTATTTTGGCCATCATAAGCAGCAGCTGTTATTGGGGATATAATCTTGAGAAGGGATTTTGTGTGTGGAAACCCAGGGGATTATTTTCAAACACAACCGCAGGCGTGCCAACGCAGACACTTGGGCTGGAGGGTGACCTTTGGGATGACTCCTTGAAAAGGAATTTGTAAATCATACCTTTCTGATAACCACCTCTGGGGGGTGGGCCTCGTGTGGTAAGAGGAAACCACCTCTCACGGTCAGTCTTATATCTGCTGTTAAACTCAGCTCCCCGCTTTAGAGAAAAGATTGAGGGTTTCATATATGAGACATCCCTCTAGTTCGAGTATGTATTTTGGGGAGGTAGACCAAGCTTTTCCAAAGGTGTGATGGTGTTAGAGAGCATCTGGTTTACGTTAATCAAGCATGTTAATAAATAATCAGCTTTAGAGCTGTTGGTTTAGACATACAGTGCAAATAATCTAATGAAATATTTTTATGATTCTTTGCCTCTTTGTGTTCAGGTTTTGGGTTCGTTGGGGTTGTTTTCTTTTAAGCTGAATGACATTGCTTTGCTCTGCGCTTCTTTTGACCTGATGCCCGTATCCTGTTGTGAATAATCCACCCCTGTTCATAGCAAAAGAGCACTTAAATGCTGTCACTTAAATGTTGATTGTTCAGAGATTAGGGATGGAATGGCTTTGTGCCTCTTATCTTTTCTGAACCATTTATTGTGTGCTGGATCAGATCCACCCTGTTGAGTGCTCCCTGCAAAATTATTGTTGCAGACAAAATAATGGCTTCTGTATGTCACTTTTCTGATTTTCAGGTTGTGCTTTAAAAATGTTGCTGGAATAATGGGTTTCTGTAGGATTACTGTAATTCAAAAGGTCATATAGGCAATAATTAGCTTATGCATTTAGTTTAAGGAATTCAGAAACACAACATTAATTTGAATTCTTCTTTCCAGATTGAACGATTAAATTCTGCATGCAGGTGTCCCAGTATATAAAGACCAGACCTAAATTTAGAGAGAGTTTTCACAAAAAGATAGACATCTAAATTTTCAATTTATACCAAGATTAATCCAGATTTTGATTGAACTTCTGACAATGCAAAGTTAACAGAAGTGTGTTTAAAATATTTGAGTAGAAGTCTCACAAGCATCAAGAACGTGGGATAAATGATCAGTAGTTCCCAGTGAAACTCTCTATTAAAGAAATAAATCTAAATTGTAAGTTTTAAACTCATGATTTTAGACACTTGAAAATTAGTAACTGAATTGTGATGCATTTTGATGCTTCCTGGTCTTTGTAGCTTTCTCATCATCTACAGAAATGAGCAGTGGGAGACTGGGCTGATATTTTGGTTATTTAAAAAAAAAAACACTATGTTTGTTAGTAAATAAATTGTTTATTACTGGTTCTGCGTGCAACTACTGAACTGTGTATTTGTCTGTGGATTTTGCTTGACTGAGATCTGTTGTGTAGGACAGAAGAATAAATTTTTAAAAATGGAATGAATCAACTCCCCTTATACTGCAAAAAACTTTTATTCCTGTGAACTTGAAATCCCAGTATGGCTTCATGCTGGAGCTCGTGCTGTCTGCTCTCATGTAACAATGATCTAAAGATTTATTTCCTTAGCTATCAGCATTTGGCCAACTTAAACACCCTGTCAAGAGTTTGGTGGTGGAACCTGAAGCCATAAGTCTCACCTGCATACAGCTGAGATATATCTTTTATTTCGGCTCTGAAAGCTTAAATGTGTAGGTAGACTTAAATCTCTACCGGCCCTTGGACCTTGCTGGTACCCAAAGATGTAGTATGCCAGTCTGTTCTCTTCCTGCCCCCCGTATCTCTTCCAAAGTATGGGTAACACAGTTGTTGGGTTGGGGAGATTTAATTTGGAAGATCACAGTGAAACAAATGTGTTTTTCTTTCGACAGGTGTTTTTGGTTCAAGTTAATCCAGGTGAAACCTTTACAATAAGGGCTGAGGATGGAACCCTGCAGTGCATCCAAGGTAAGAGGATACACGGATGTGTGGACAAGCATTGCTTGCGTTATGGAAAACTTGTTCTCCCAGTTCTACAGAAATGTGATACGCAGTTCTGAAAATACAGTGAAGCACTGAAGAGTGAGAAGTTGCAGACATGACTGCTGTACATGTTGTAGGACTTTAATATCTTGGAATGAGCCATGAATTTCTTGCAAGCCTGGGAGATTTCTCTCTTCTTTCAGTCATTTGTCAGCATTTTATATATGTTTGGATGTGTATATGTGTGTATATATATGTTTCCATATAACCACATAGTCAATACAAATGAGAGATCCTGAGTTAAACTGAAAATTAGTAATGATTAAGTGGCTATGTAGGGAAAAACTATTTTGTTTTCATACAGGCATTGAGAGGGATAGAAAATGAGCAGAGGAGTACAGACACTGCAGACTACTTGGAGAAGTTAAATTGGGTTCGAGCAGAATTTTAAATTGGGCCTTTAGAAGCAGGACTAGTTAATTACCTAGTATCGAATAAAACCATGTAAGCAATCTGTTTGCTGTTTTACCTCTTGGTAAAATGGTGCAAATATCATAAATAGCGCTTGTGTTTTTTATGAGAGAGCCCACACAAAAATCTTCTAGCAGGTCTGCAGGGAGAAGCGACAGAAGACCTTTCAGACTGTACATTAAGTACTGTGAAGAATACTTACCTTAACTAGTAGCAAATACAGCTTTGAAGCGAAGAGGATATTTCCCTGGATATAATGCTGTCTACAGTGAATTCAGGGAGGTTAAATCAAAATTTAGAGGGAATAGACCTTGCGTAGCTGTGCTGCTAATACTGTTTTCAGTGATACTTTTTGAGTTTATACCATTATCTTATTTTTCTGAGAAGGGAGGTAGGTGCTGTTGTCTCCCCCATCCTTTCCAGGTCTTGAGCCATTAAGCAGCGATCTCAGTGGGCTATTCATTCATAAGCCTTTCCTAAAAAAGGCAATAGTAATGGGGGGGGGGAAAGTCAGTTTAATAATAATTGTATAGTTAGTGAATTACTTCTAGCCCTCTGAGGATGAAGGTTGCTCCCTGGGCAAACTGTTCCAGTGCTGCCCTGCCCCCATAGGGGAAAGTTCATCCTTTGAAATATTTGTAATTTCCCATCTCACAGTCTCTTTGCATCTTTTCTGTGGCCTCTCATTTAAGCAGTGGAGTTGATGGTAGTTATTGCTTTAAATTGCGTCCCCATGGAAATAAGGAATTAATAGTTGTTGGAGATAAACGTTACAGAGACTTCCCTGAACCATCCAGGATTATTCAGTCTTGAGCAATAATAGCAGCAATTTAAAACTGCTTGTTAAGATTTATAGCCAACGTGCTGTGTGGTAAGAAATTGGTCCGCGTGGCAATTAACAGAGGAATAAAGCTGGATACTCCTTTTATTTGAAATGAATGCTTTGTATTGGTTAGTGCATTAAAAAATTCCATTACAGATATAATTATGACACTATTTATTTATAGTTTGTTCATGCTCAAAGTGTTATTCAGACTGTATTTAAATGAATGCAACTTGAAACCTCTGGTTCTGTGTTCCCAGTAGTTTGTGCCAATGGGGTTTGTTTGATACTCCTCAGCAGTCTCTTGTAAAATCAATTTAGAATTTGGAGCATAAAATTATCTCCTTTTTTTTATAGAGCTTCAGTATTGACCACCAAAGCACTCATGTTTATTTATATAAGCTCTCTAAGTTTGAGCTGAAAATTCTGTTATTCTTTTCATGGTAAAGCTTCAACTCCTATTTTATTATGAAATATTTATATTGCTGAAATAAGTATGTACTTCAAATACAGAAGAGCACCTGGCTTGTTGTTGCTTTTTTGTTTTATTTTGATAAAGCTGTGTTCACAGTGCAGTTGTGGAACTTAAATAATGTTAATAGTGATTTATCACAGATGAAACTGTAATCAGCCAGCAAGTATACCAAGATTAGGATTCGTGACAGTTCTGTTTTTCCTGTGCTCTGAGGTTATTGTAAAAGACAGCTTATTTTGTGTGCAGTGGTTTTGGAAATTATACACCCCCTTGCTCCACAAAACTTAAATGTCTGGGTTTTTTTTCCCCCTGGGATAAGAGTATTTTGTATGTTTAAAGGTTAATGTATTCCCTATACGTGGGGCAGCACTCAGACAATAATGATGCATTTTCCTTTGCTCCCACATTGCACTATGATTAGCAACTATGGAATAATTTTAGCACTCTATTAAAGGCAGCATGGAAGTCTCTATTTGGGCAGTGTATATGCCTGTGAGCTGGTAGCTCCCTGTTGAATGGCTGATACTCACTTTTTCTTATTGCCACATATTCAGTGTTTTGATGTAAGATATGCTTGTAAATAGGATTTATTTGTATTCACAATATGAAGGACTACTTTATTATAAATTGCGTGATTCTTCTGCATTTAGGGAGTGAATGCTTTTATTAAAAACTTGAGATGTCATGATTTGGTTACACTAAATTCTTCAGGATGTATGAAAGCTTCTGTTTCCTTTGGGATGTATGCATTCTGCAGGGACAGCTAACTTCACTTACATGGAGTAATTTTTACCATTTTTTAAAGCTTTTTAAAAAAATTATGTTACTCATTTAATATATGGCTTTCTGAGAAGGTTGAAATCTTCCGGAGCCTGTTTTGGATGTCCTGTGAACCACCGCTTTGTATCCAGGACCCGCTTTGGCTCCATGGCTGTGGTGTGTCTGGGGATGAGCGGGGATAATGTGTGTTAGAGGACTGATGTGAAAAGAGCAGAGAAAAAGACGACTTTGTAAATCTTCGTTTGTCTTCTCAAGGTTGGAAGAAGGACACTTGTTTGAGGAAAGCCTCTGTGGAATATCCTTTGTTTTAAACACCCTGAAGTGTAATTATGCACTAATTGAGTAGTCACTGTTTAGAAACAGAAAGAATAAATGCACGTTTGAAGGTCTCTGATGTTTTGGAATAGTGGAGAAATCCTAAATACAAAAATTTTTTCCAATTCCTCAGGGTTTCACCAGTAAGGTAATTAGTTAAAACTTTCAAACTAAAAATACTCCCCTCTAACTGAGAAACGACCCCCTTTAAAATACTATAAAACTGGAATAAATGTGTACTTTTAAGTGAACATGCAATGTGTTACAGCACGTGCTGTCTTTGTTCCTGTGCCACTCACCTAGGTAGGTTTTGGGCTCTAACTGCAAAACTGTACCTCTGTGGGTGGTCTGAATTTGGTATTTTTGAGAGGTTAAATGAGTATATGTCTTGTATCATCAGTATTTTAAAAGCTGCTCTTTTCATATAGTTTTGACAGGTAATAAATACTTCATAAATACGTCAAGACTTTAAATGCTTCATTTCCTTTTTGCATTTTTCCACTTAATTGTTCACAAACTCAGGACTGGACTGTTGCTAACTCTGCAAGGAAAGAACAAGGGCGAGGCATATCCTTACCCTTTTCTCTGCTCAGCTATAACTGTAGACCTTGTATTCCCGTTACATGGAAGGTTGCTTCTAACCAGTGCTTTGGGGTAACCACACTAAATGAGATACAGAAAAGGGGGAGAACACGGATCCAATCAGCTGCAGAATGGCACCAAAACAACCCTCTGTATTTGAAAAAAAAAAAATTCTGCCTTCTGAATATTCCAGGTGAATCCAACGTGTTCAGAAAATTCCCCTTTCCCTTGTGGCTGACTGAAGGCTGGTGTTTTTAGCCAATATCTTAAGATCTTTGGTAGGAACTTCTATTGCTGCATGCGAACCATGTAATAGACTAAATTACTTAAAAATACAGAAGTTTGCATAGTTTGGGGCGGTGGTGCCGTACCCAAGAATCTGTTCAGTGCTGCTTCATCCTGGAAAACTGTAATGCCAAGCTGTCGTGCACACTGTGTTACGAATAATACGGACAAAATGATTTTTCTGCTGCCACTTGAACTTGCTTATCACCCACGTGTTGAAAATACATGTGTTGGGCAACCTTGCTGCAGACTGCTTAACACTTCTATCCATTCATCATGCAGAATTGCTCAGTTATTGCTAAATGTACTTTCTGTTGCTGTCCGTCCAAATGATACCCAAGGTAGGTCTTATTTTCTGCCACAAGCAAACCAGACTGAGTTTTCTGCACTGACATTTTCTGTGTGTATGCATAGCATGCAGGAAGCCCGTAGCAAAGATGGAAGAAAGAAAAAGTAGCAGAAAAGCACCCGGTGTGATACAAATTGAAATTCCTGGTGTATTCTGTCTAGCCCATGCTGTTGAAATATCTCTTGAAACTTAACTCTAGTCTTTGTTCAGTATCACAGCACAAGGTTTGCAATAGCGAAGCGCAAAATTTGCGTGCAAAGGAAACGAATATGCTAATGAAAAGAAATTATGCTGTAATTCTACCGGCACAGGTGAACAAGGCTCTGCATCAAAGGAGCGTTTGGCTCTGTGATGTTTTCAAGGACGAGGCGCAGATGTGCGATGGCACGGATGGGTTGCAGCTACGTTAAAGCGTGCATCCCTGTGTAGTAGGCAAGCACCTTAATTGCCTTGGGGTGGTTACACTTTGAAATGAAAACAGGGTAGTAGGCATACATGGCCTACTATTACTGATATGTTTCAAGTGATATTTTGAAGCGTTTTGTCATTGACGCTGAACTTGAAGCGGTGCAGGGCCCTTGCTTGGTCTGATCTTGTAAAGCAAAGATTGCATGAATTAAGTTGCTGCTTTTTCCGTGGCTCCAAAAGCGAGTAACTCGAGAGAAAGGCCAGAGGTATGCTAAAAATCTTTAGTGGTTTCTCAAATGAAAGATTTCCTGGAATTTTTATTCCCTTAATTTGGTGGGTGGGTGTGGTTTTGTATGGTAATGCAAAGGAATGGATAATATTAAAGGCTAAATAGCTGTAGGTTTATGTAGGAGGAGTGTGTGTGTAAGTGAAATAAGGCTGTTCAGTCTAGTCTAAGCAAACAAAAAAAAGTTGTTTTGTTTTGTGTTTTTTTTTTC